ATTGTTTTTCAACAGGGTGAGGCCCTATTTCAAACGCATGAGAACTTGGAGCATCTTGCCATGATGGAGAGGGTTTTGGGGCCACTACCACAGCATATGGTGCTCAGAGCTGAGTAAGACTCTTACTGTGCATAATCCCTTCGTTTTGTATTTGGCATGGAGCTCTTATATTGTGCCCAATTTTTGCAGTCGTCGTGCTGACAAATATTTTAGAAGGGGAGCACGACTGGATTGGCCTGATGGAGCAACTTCTAGAGAAAGCATGAGGGCAGTTTGCAAATTGCCCCGGTTACCGGTAATGATTCAGAACTTAAAAAGTTGCTATCTTATTTATGCCAATAATGTAACACCCTACGCATATACAATACAAATTTAATCTGTCCTTGGATTTTTAATCAAGTGCTTGCAGACTTACTTTACTGTTATTTTGAACCATCCATTGCAGAACCTAATAATGCAGCATGTGGACCATTCTGCTGGAGATTTGATTGAACTCTTGCAAGGGCTCCTAAGATACGAGCCAGCGGAGCGTCTCAAGGCAAGGGAAGCTCTAAGACATCCCTTTTTCACTAGAGATATGAGAAGGGGTGGCTACCCCTTGTAAATCAACGATCCTCATCTATATCAGTCATGCGCATGCGCTATTAGAAAGCCTGAAAGATATAAAATGAGTGAAACGAGTCGAAATACAGATGTGGGTTTTTGATTGTACGATTGTTTCTGTATAGTAAAGCTTACCCCACCCCTCCTCCCCTTACCTGCCCATCAATGTCTTATACTGGTTGTCTTCTTTTATAGCCATAGCTTCTGGTTTGTTTTTATGATTTTCACTGAGAAAATGCGTGACCATAAACATAAATATGACATTAAAATGTTGTTTCTGTGTTTTGCTCCATATGCCATTCTTTTCTTACCCAACTACAAATACATCAATAGGCGAAGTGGGATTCTTTGGTTAGCCTTAAATAACCTATGGTGAAAGCCAATGAGATGGGGTGAGCGGTCAGGGACTGAATTTACCGATGTATATTTTCTAGTTTACTGGCCAGCTCATAAGGTTTAATTTCAAAGGGGTTTGCATCTATAACTCCACTTAAGGCCTCCTGTTTTATTTTAGTCTGGCCAGTTGTTTGAAGTTAAAGAAAATGCATGCTGATTAAACTATTGCTAATCTTTGTTTGTTTAGACTTTTAAAGCAGATGAGCATTTGACATTGAAGGCATCAACAGAGTTGTTGAAAGTAACAAACCGTGAACCAACAGCAGAGCAGACCATGTCATTATCATCTCGAGCTGTAATTGCAC